GTTCAAGGCCACACTGAACTACAATGTGAAACCCAGTCTCAAAAAAATGGGAACAATATTTTGCATCTTGTACTCTCTTCTTTGTCTTTGATACAACTGACTTTGAGAGGTGAGTCTATTTCTGCTCCCATTGAATTTGGATAGTCCAGTGACTATGGAGAAAGTGAAGTGCATAACTTCTGAGGCTGGGTCCATAAAAACCTATATAGCTTAGGCAAAAGCGGTGGCTCACACCTGTAATCCCAGCTACTCTGGAGGCTGTGGCCAATATTAACAAAAGTGATATACAGATTTTTTTTTTGGTACCAGGGATCGAACTCAGGGCCTTTTGCTTGCAAAGCAGGCAGTGGAACCAATGAGCAAAATCCCCAGCCTGATATACAGATTTATTGCAATCCCTACATAAATACCAACAACATTCTTCACAAAACTAGAAAAAGCAATCCTAATGTTCATATAGAACCAGAAGAGACCCAGAATAACCAAGCAATCTTGAGGAAAAAAAAAAAAAAGCCAAGCAGGAGGCATCACAATCCTGGTTTCAAGTTATATTATAAAGCTATAGTAACAAAAACAGCATGGTACTGGCACAAAAACAGACATGTAGACCAATAGAAAAGAAGATGCAGAACAACCCTATGCACACCTTCAGCCATCTTATTTTGACAAAGGGGCCAAAAACATACACTGGAGAAAAGACAGCCTCTTTAACCAATGGTGCTGGGAAAGCTGGTTATCCATGTGCAGAAGAATAAATCTAGACCCATATATCTCTCCCTGCACAAAAATCAAATCAAAATGGATTAAAGACTTAGATATAAAAACAAACTTTGAATCTGCTAGAAGGTAACATAAGGGATGCTTGAAGCCATAGGCACAGGTAAGAACTTCCTGAATAGAACTCCAATAGCACAAGAAATAAAACCAAGAACAAACAAATTAAAACACTTCTGCACAACTAAAGAGTCAGTCAACAGGATGAAGCAACAACCTACAGAATGAAAAAATATTTTTGTCAGCTACTCTTCTGACAGAGGACTAATATCTGGAATATACAAAGAACTAAGAAATATCAAGTCCCCCAAATCAACAACCCAATCAAAAAATGGGCAAATGAACTGAACAGAGCCATCTCCAAAGAAGTACAAATGGCCAATAAGTACATAAAAAATGCTCATCATCTTTGGCTATTAGAGAAATGCCAATCAAAACATTTGTGAGATTTCACCTTACCACAGTCAGAATGGCCATTATCAAGGGCTCAAAAAAACAAGTGCTGATGATGTGGGGAAAAGGGAACCCTTCTATATTCTTGGTGGGGATGTAAAACTGCTAAGGATATCAGTATGGAGATTAGTCAAAAAAACGAAAAATTGAAAGTCCATTTGATCCAGCTCTATCTCTCCTGGGTATATTCCCTAAAGAATTAAGTACACGATACTATGATACCTAATACCCATGTTTATAGCCACACAACAGCCTAGATGCCATCAACAGATGAATGGATAAAGTAAATGTGATACATATAAACAATGGAATTTCATTCAGCCATAAAGAAGACTGAATTCATTCTATTTGCAAGAAAATGGATGGACCATGAGCTGATAATGCTAAGTAAAATAAATCAGTCACAGAAAGTTAAATATTGTATGGTTTCTCTTACTTGAGCAACTCAAAATGTAAATAAATTAAAGGGTAAAATAAAGCAGACTTTCTGGAGAACAGGAAAGGGATTAGGGAGGGGAGAGGAGGAGGATTGGGAAGGTGGAAAAGCGGGATTCAAAATGGTCAAGATATAGTATATACTTGTACAAATTCTTCACAGCGTATATCATGTATTACAAACTTTTTTTGGGGGGGGTACCAGGGATGGAACTCGGGTCCTTGCACTTGCAAAGCAGGTGGCAGAACCCCCGAGCTAAATCCCCGGCCCATATTAAAAATATTTATCAGTAAAAAATTTCATGCAGTGGGGGGGCAGGTTCAAGCAAGCCTGAACAAGTTAGCAGGACCCTGTTTCAAAATAAAATAAAAAGGCTGGGGGGGCATAGCTGTTGTAAAGCCCTTGCCTAGCAATGTACAAGCCCCTGGGTTCTATCCTCAGCACCACAACAAATTAGCTTATATTAGTTTTTTTTGCTGGACAAAGAATTATCACAAACCTTGTGGTTTAAATCAATACCCATTTGTTGATCCACTGTTCTGTAGGTCAGACTTCTGGGCACCGTATGGCTGGGTTCTCAGGGTCTCACAGGCTGACATGAAGGTGTTAGCCAGACTGACTTGTTGGAGACTCAGGGGGAAAAATCTGCTTCCAAGTTCATTCATGCTATTAGCAGAATTCAGTTCTTTATGAACTGAGGTCTCTGTTTCCTCACTGGCTGTCAGTTGGGGCCAGCCTGCATTCCTTGTCATGTGGCTACCTCCACCTTCCAAACCAGCCGTGAAGAATATCTCTCATATCAAATCCAACTCATGCTTCCAATCTCTCACTGCCTCTGTCTCTGACCTCTAGAACCAGATTTAAATGGCTTGTGTAATTAGGTCAGGTCCATGTGGAGGTTCTTCCTATAGCAAGGCCAGCCAGTTTGAGACCTCAATTACACCTGTAAAGTACCTTTTGTCATGATGGCCATAGAGTCCACTCACACTTAAGGGAAGATTATACAAGGGTGAGCTCACTGGGTGCTATGGTTTATATCTAGATGTGTCCCCAAAGCCTCATGTGCTCATAGGTGGGGCTTTTGGAAGTAATGGGATCATGGGTGTGTGATACTAGATTAGTCTACTGATTAGTTTAGCATAGTTCTCGGTATGGATGGTGGACTTACTGAAGAGAAAAGACCCGCCCTGGGTGTGGGTGGCATCAACCAACAGGCTTGTAGCCTGGATGAAATAAAGAGGGAAAGTAGAAGGAAGCTGCTCTGCTTCCTGCCTGCCTTGCCATGGACTGATTCCCCTCTACCATGTTGTCCTGTCTTGGAGCCAGCAGGACTATGGACTGAAACCTCTACAAACTGTGAGCTGAAAATAAACTTTTCTCCTTTAACTTGTGGGTGCTGGATATTTTGTCTCAATAAAGAGAAAGTAACTAATACGCTCGGGTCATCTTAGAATTCTACTGACCACACAGTTTCTGCTTGATTCTTTTGTATGTTTGAGCTTGAAGCTCACCTACTATGCTATGAAGTAGCCCATGCAGCCTGTGGAGTGGCCCATATGGGGAAAAACTGAACCACCATCTCCCCACCAACAAGCAGCATCAACCTGTCAGCCGTACAAAGGAGCCATTTTGAAGATGGATCTTCCAGTCCCAAGCTGAGCAACCCTGCTGATGATACATGAAGCAGATGAGGTGGCCCTATTAAGTCCTGCCCAACTCGCAAATTTCTGAGTAAAATCAAGGATTGTTGTTGTTCTAAGCCACTAAATTTTGGTGTGACTTGTTACACAGCCACAGGTAATCAAAATCAAGTAACAACCTGTATATGATGTGCAAGTACTGAATGCCTCTTCTACAAGGAGGAATAGCTTACACTTCCTTTAGGATAGTGAAATATGTAGCAGTATAGGCCTAAAATGTCATTCGATACATTTTATTTATCCCAACTTATAATGAACTGATTTGCACCAGTATAGCCATCATCTTATTAGAAAATCCAGCATTTTAAAGGGGTTACCTAAAAATTATGCTGCTTTCCTTTTGAGCAGTGGCTATATTTTTAAATAACTGTGAAATATTGGGAATGTAAATGAACACAGATAACATTAATTTTAAAGCTACAATAAACTTGTTTTTAAATCACTAACGTATTAATATTTCAAAGCAGGGTGAATTATTTTTCAATTGCCATTTTTATTGGAAAAAGTAGAAAACATTGAGAAAATAATCACTAATTTTGTCATTGAACAATTTTCATCAACAGATTAGATGACAGTCTGCTGGAGAAGAGAATACCCACTATCGAAGTGTCCACTTTTCTGGATTACTGAGGGGTAAGGTACCTTTAACACAATGAAGAAACCTGTTGGACAACACTAGCCAAGGATTAAACGTACTGCTAAGGGCATACACAGTGACATCGGGGGCCTCCCAATGTGCTGCACTAAAGACAAGATCTTATGGGGCCGGGGATTTGGCTCAGAGGTTCTGCCGCCTGCCTTATAATCACAAGGGCCAGAGTTCGATTCCTGGTACCAAAAAAAAAAAAAAAAATTAACGTAAACCTGATTATGAGAAAGCACATAAATCCAAATTAAGGGCAGTCTGAAAAACCACTGGCTTGGACTCTTCAAAAATCTCAAAGTCACAAAACACATAAACAGCTGGGGAACTTGTCTAGATTAAAGGAGATTAACCCAAGGAGTTAACAAATTATGGATTCTGTCTGGATCTTCAATCTCCTCTCTGCAGCAAGAAAAACAGCCATAAAACTATAAAATCCAAATATGCACTACATAGTAGATAATAGTGCCATACTAAATGTTACTTATCTTTGTGGATTGTGGTTAAACAGGCAAAAGAGTCCTTAAGAGGGCCGGGGATGTAGCTCAGCGGTTCGGTGGCCTGCCTTGCAAACGCAAAGACCCGAGTTCAATCCCCGGTACCAAAAAAAAAAAAAAAAAAAAAAAAGAGTCCTTAAGAGACATGGTAACATATTTAGGGGTGAAGTGTCACTACGTCTTCAAGTAACATTCAGGCAATTGTGGAAGGACCAAAGTTCTGTACCTGGTTGAGGAAGTTTATGTCAACAATCTAGCAGTTTCTTCGGCACAGTGAGGAGAGCAGGCAGCCAGCTTGCCTCCCTGGATGGCAGATGGAGTCCTGAGAGCTTTAAAGTGGCCGCAGCACTCACTATAAGGAGGGAAGTGGAAGTCTCTGGTTCCACATCTGACAAAGGGAGGAACACACAGCCACTCCAGCATGCTCGTGGCACTTTAAGGGCGAAGCCACGCCCTCCCGTCCTGACTGGCACACACGACAGCGGCCTGCTGCACGTGCGCAGTGGGTCTGAAGCCCTTTACGGCAGACACGTGCACAAGCGCGAGGCAGTGGCCTTCGCGTTCCAAGGCATTGTGGGCTGGCAGGGCGACCGTTGAACCTCCTCCCACTGGGCTGTCATGGCAGGCGTCGGAGCGCTACTTCAGAGGGCGAGAGCCTATGTGAAGACCAAAAAGTTCCGGGACTACCTGACCAGCACGCACTTCTGGGGTCCTGTGGCCAACTGGGGCCTTCCGCTGGCTGCCTTCAATGACATGAAATCGCCGCCTGACATCATCAGTGGCCGCATGACAACAGCGCTCTTCCTTTGCTCCTTGGTTTTCGTGCGCTTCGCCTACCGTGTGCAGCCTCGAAATTACCTGCTGATGGTGTGCCACTGCACCAACGTGGTGGCCCAGAGTATGCAGGGCACCCGCTACTTGCGCTACCACTATGGCAGTGGCGCTGCACCTGCCACCGGGGCCTGCGACCCGCTGGCCACCACCAGCCCCAGCCCCAGCCCCGCGTCCTCAAGTAAACAAGCTCCGTAATGCCTGGGGGCATCGTTCCTCGCAGCCGGCAAGCACTAACTGAGCTCTATTCCTCCTGAAGACACCGATGGAAACTTTGGTTTTGATTCTCCAACAGTGTGAACCCGGGTGAAACCTGCAGTTTGGCTAATAAAGAAAAGAGCATCAAGCCGAGGCTGCTGAGGGTTGTCATTTCTTGTACTGGGAATAAAGTGTTTTCTGGGCGAGGGTAGGTTTGGATGGTCTCCCTTTTCACAGGACTTGAGAACGGAGAGTCAGGTGGGGGAGGAAGACTGAATGGAAAACATTATCCATTAACTCGTAGCTTTTTTAAAAAGCTCTGTGGAGAACGTGTTTTTTTGTTTGTTTGTTTTTCTTTTGGGTATACAGGCCAAGGAAGGGTTTTTAGTATGACACGACCTAAAATTTGGTAGTCACAAATCCCTACACCAAAGGAGATGTGTATGGTGGGCTCTTTCTATTGAGGGAAATGTTTCCAGGTAGGTTTAATTAATGTAGTAAAATCAAGTTTACACTTTCAAGAAATACTCTTGGTCTGGGTAACTGAGAGCAATAATAGAATCTGCCATGGAGATGGCATAAACAACTCAGGATGGTTGCTGTCCACTGGAGTTCCAGGAAAATAGAAAATAAAAATGACAAAGTAGTTCTTTCCTCTTTTCCTTACCCTTAGAAATGGAGAGAACGAGTTTGTGATGTGGGTTAACCCTAACACTCTGTATTGAATGCTAGAGTTGGGGGTTGAGGGTCAGTGGTCAACACCAGTAGCCCAGAGTATTCCTCTGGGAATCCTGTGGGCACTATTGACTTCTTAAAGCAAGGAACATGAGATGGGAGAAAGAGATGGGTGGAGTTTGTGGAATGAGACCATTATCTCCAGGGCAGAGATTTCTTCTAGGATTTGACCCCATTTTCCCCATGCCTTTGCCTCTGGAGGATGAAGTTAATGGGGGACCCGATGTATATGTTCAGAAGTGCTTAACTCTGATTTTGATAAAGATTTCAACTACAAAGTTAAAATAACTACCCAAAAGGTTCTGTATACATCAGCTCTTGTCTAAGACACCACGTTAGTAGAACTCCAAAAGATTCCTCATTCTGTGTCATTTAAGCATTAGTCCTCTTAGCGGGCAGTCATTTCACATTCAGCACTTGGGGGCGAGGTGGGCAGTGAGGCACACATTGAAAATACAGTGTATTATCTGTTGCTGTGTAATCAATCATCCAACTTGACAGTCTGAAACAACAACTCCTATCACACAATTTCTGAGGGTCAGGAAGGAGTCTCTGAAGACTTGACTGGGCTTGGAAGATCGGCTTCCAGGCTCACTTATCTGTACAGCTGTTTATATGTGGGCTTCTGTGATACAACATGGCTTCCACCAGAATGAAGTTCCAAGAGAGGCCAAGAGGGAATTCCTGGTCTCTTGTAGCTTAATCGTGTAGGTAACTTTACCATCACTGTACCATGTTCACACAGACCCATCCTGGCATACTGTGGGAGGGCAATATAAGGGTGGAAATACTAGGAGTCAAGGATCATTAGCGACCCCCCTTGGAAGCCAGCTACCACACATGGTTCTGAAATAATAATTTTCATGCCTTTCTGATACTCAGTATAAAGTAATAAAGCATGTAAGGTCGTTGCCCACCTTCCCAAAGGGATGTTACAGAATGCTTGGTTTACAGTTGTGTGGTCATTACTAATGTGCATATATATCACAAAGTGGGTTTGAGGAAGTTTCTGGAAGAGAATAGTAGCTCTTAATATTTTAGATAATTCAGACTACAATGCAGTAATAAAAACCAGTTCTTAAAGTTAAGAAATGAATTACATCAAGATTTTTATTAAAACATTCAAGGATTTTTTTCACTTCACTGAGTATTACATGAGTAGAGATTCATCTATTTTTAGGCATCTTACAAAATGTATTTTGTAATTTGAATATATTTCAATAAAAGGCCACTGTCAGTTGAAGACATTTCAGAGCAGGTAGGTTTCTTCTAATTAACCTGGTAAGGGAAAACGAGGTAATAACTGCTTATAATGTCCCATCACTCTATATTTATACTTTAGAGGTCAAAATGATCAGAGGAAATATTCAAAAGATGGCAACATCTCCACTCTAATGCAATACTGCTTTTAGTACATGAAACACACCCAAGTAAGAGATCCAGCCTTTTTTTTGCCTAGATATTACTGTTTAAGCCATATGAGTAATGTTTTAATATAAATGAGCCTTTCAAATCATTAGTGTAACCATCATTTCATAATCTCCCTAAATGCTCAAACATAACCTATTCTGACTTTGGAGACTGAAAACTGTGTACAGATCTCTACCACAACTTTATAAAGCAGAGTGAGTTTTCCAGAAGTTTTGGTCACAAACACACTTTAGTCGCTTCCCAGAATTCAGGTGTTTCATGCTGAGTTTAATATGTCACATCTTGCTCCAGCTCCCTGGGAAAGCCAAGGACTGCCTTATCTCTGCAACCATAATGCTAAAGGGGCCGGGATGTAGCTCAGTGGTGCCGTGCCTGTGTGGCAAGTGCAAGGTCCTGAGTTCAATCCCTGGTACCACCAAAAAAAAAGAACCATACTGCTAAAGTCATCTTTTTCTTGAATTTTTTCAAAACTCTAAAGTATATATTGTTTCCCAGGAGAGGCTGAGAGCAGGTCATACTGCTGAGTGCACAATGAACCAAAGGCTGCCCTAGGCAGAAGGACGGTGCTTAGTAGGCTTCTTCCCATGACCATGAGGATTCCCCATAGAGCCACAAAGAGGGAGGTGACAGCAAATTATGGGAAATATCATGAGGTCTTATAATTTGAATTTACAGTGTTCAAATGTATTTTGAAATAACAATTTTAATCAAAAAACTTCAGAATATACAAGTGCACATTTGTAACAATTTCATGTGGGAGTACGCAAAATACAAAGTACAGCTTCAGTGGGCCGGGGATGTAGCTCAGCAGCATAGCACCTGACTGGCAAGCACGAGACCCTGAGTTCAATTCCAGGTACCAAAAGGGAAAAACAAAAAATACGGTCTTGTCTGCTTCCACAGACCTAACACAGCAAAAAAAAAGCACATGACTTTTTGAACCTTAGTTATTATAAAATACATATAGTATTACAGCATGCTAAGCATGGTTAAACATTTTGCCTATCTATTTAGTTTTGATGGTGGTGCTGGGGGTGGAGCCCAAGGCCTCATACACGCTAGGCACGTGCTCTACCACAGAGCCACACCTCCAGTCCCGCTTTTCTATTTAGCACATCTTATAGATCATTCCGCGTTACTGTGTCACAGTATCATCTCATTCTTTCTGATAGGTGCATAAGATTCTGCAGTCTGATGCGCTACCCTTTATTAACAAGTCCTCTATTAATGGCCGGTTGGCTATGCTGCTGTACATCACCCATGCGCACAATTCTGTCAAAGAAATGCTCATAGGGTGATGTCTCTGCATGAGCTACATTTGCTTTAAAGCCCTTGCTAGCCATGTCTTCCTGTTTCAACGTAATTAAATGTTACCAGTATAAACTTTCTGAATAATACCTTTGACTTAATAGAGCAGGTAAATCCATAAAATGACAGCCCATAAATTATCATCCATACCTTAGATGTCTTTATATCCTCATCTAGTCAGTATCTGGCATATGGCTGACATCTGAGAAGTGCTTGTTGGACAGAGGAAAGAACTAATGATGCAGGTATAAAATCGAAGGGTTCATATCCCAAGGTTCCTAAAGTTAGAAACCAGGTCTTAAGTTGGTTAGTGAATCAAGATTCTATTTGAGCCCACATTTTGGATCTCAGATCTAGAAGCTAGGAGATACTATGCTGAAGTTTCTTAGTTTGGGACTCTGCTAGATGTGTGAAAATTCTTACTTTCCTACTGAATTCTTTTCAAGGGACTCCATGAAATAAAGGGAGAAAGAAAGCACAAGGGCCGGCCAGGTTATAGCTCGCTTGCCTAGCATGCTCAGTCCCCAGCAACACACAAGCACAAGACTAAAGACCGAACAGCACTGGGAAGCCGGAAACAATAGGCACATCTGCGCTCACCCGGGATTTATGCAATTACAGTAAGTGCATTTTGATGTAGAAATCTGTGCCATACATATGCCCCAGCCAGTTCTCTAAAGATAACCCTTGCAGGCCGATGAACAGGCACCTTCCTTCAGGCTTTGCATGGAGCACTTCATCCAGGTAGTCTGAAAATGAGGCAGTTCTGGCCCTGAAGGTGCAGAGGTAACCTGACCCAGTCTAGCTCCATTGACCTTGGCAATGACTGGATGGAGAAAAGATGCCAGTGAGGCAACCCCACAGTCCCTGAACACAATGGGACAGTGCTTATTGCCGTTCAAGAACAGACAGGACAAAGGCAGGAGCGGAATACTTTTGGGGTAAAAGAAATAAAGGAAATATGAAGGAATCTGTGAATCTGCTGAACGAAAATGAGTTTCCATAAGAATGTTGAGAAGTTTTATTCTTAAATTTCATAATGAAGGACCAGGCTTAGTCAATAGTATAACATTTACACTTACTCCAAGGCTAGCAGATGATTCTCCAAACAAATATTAAGCACCTGCGGCAGGCTTTGTGCTCCACACAGGAGATAACAGCACACCTGGAGCCCGCTGGGCGGACTGGCCCTCACAAGAGGACCAGGTAAACAAGCCGCCCATTATCCTTACCCTGAGGTCCCTGATGACCTCCCACTGACCGTCCCTCTGCCTCAGGGCGCCTGAGCCAGCTAGTAACAGTTCTGTTTGTACCAAGCTCCAGTGGCTAGAAAATGGCCTTCTAGGCATGTTTCCCTCTTGCCTTCTTCTAGCGTGTAACACTTATATCACAGTCCTGAAGTTTAAGCCTTCCCGCAGCAGGAGGCAGGGACGGGTCACATCTGCCAGGGGCACAGTGCTCCGTGTGAGTTCTTGGCATAGGACAGACCTGGCTCCCTTTGCCAAAGGAAGCCAGATGAGGCTCTCACCCTTGAGACAGCAGGAAGTCCCTGTGTGGTAACGAGTTATGGCACAGGAGTATCTAGTTTTTTTTATTGGTATACATCATATAAACTGAAGTTTATGAATATGAAAATCTACCACCAAAGAGTCAGAGGCAAGTCCAGGATAACAATAACTTGCTGTTTGGGTTGAGTACTCTGGATATTTTTCCCTCTGCATAGAAAAGGATGCCTGAGCTGGAAGCCACGCTGATCATTACAGAACATAGCTCATTTGTGTCGAAACATAACCTAGGAGGAAAGAGAAGGTTTTCACTTTCTTTGTTGGAGGGGGAGAAAGTAAAACACTGAAGAGGGTTACCCATGTTAACCAGTTTTCCTTAAGGAAAGCAGACACAGGAAGAGCTGAGCATCACTGATGTCATTTTGGGGCAGAGGGGCAGAGATGGTTTTTGGTTATGTTATAAAGTTGATTCACCTAAGACCAGACTAGTGACTTCAGGTATATTTGGCTAAAGAATCCTGCCAGGGAACTGATGCTGGATTACTTCACAGGTGTGAGAACCACAAAGCTCAGTGCCGTCTGGAAATAACAAGGATATAGAGAAGCCAGGTTTGATTCTTGTATGTTCACTATGGCTCGCAGAAGAGAACAGACATCAGAGGGGGAGGCCACGACATCCCTCTGGAACGTCACATGCTAAACTCACCTCAGGCCTTCCTTTCAGGTGTCTGTCTCCCAGGTTCCTCTGAATCCGGTTTTTGATGCAGTAGAAAGAGGTTTTCTAGCTTCTGAATATCTTCTGTAAGGCCATTTCTAAGATCCTCGTTGTTTCTCAGAAATTCCTTCAGCATTTCTAGTCGATCTGAGATCTGCAAGAGCCAATCATATAAAATATAGTTTGGGACAATTCTGGCAGCAGATTTCTAATCCAATAAAAAAATGTACTACCTTCAAGGCTGGCTCCTGGGGCGGGCAGAGTATCTCAGTAGCAGAGCACATGCTCAGCATGCACAAGGCCCTAGGTTCCATGCCCAGTGCCCCACCCAGCAGAAGACCAGTTCCTGCTCATGTATCCACCAAGAGACAGAAATCAGGCTGGGGATTGGCTCAGTGGTTCCGCCGCCTGCCTCGCAAGTGCAAGGACCTGAGCTCAATCCCTGGTACCAAAACAAAGAGAGGAAGAGAAGGA